TCAGAACACATTTCTGCATTCACAACCAAAAACACCCAAAACCCAAAAAAGAAACCACATAAAAAAAACAGTGAACACACAGTAGAGACAGAAAACAGAGGAAAAAGAAAAAAACCCACAAAACATCTGGAGAAAACAACGCACCTGGATCTTGAGAAACTCCTCTTTACTCATAGCTCCAAGTCAAACACAGAGATTTAAAAAAGCAAAAAGGAAAGTAAGAGAGAGAGAGAGAGAGAGAGAGGGAGATGGGGATGGAGAATAATAGATCTGGGAAATGAAAAAGAAGTAGGAGAAAACAGAGAGGGGAGAATGAGAAGGAAGAGGAAACTGATGGGTGTGTGTGGATTCTCTTGGAACTCAACTAAGAAAGTAGGAATCTGAGTACACAGAAAAAAGAAAAGAAAACCCAAAACCCAACAGCTCAGAGATGGAGTAGGTGTGGTTCTTAAGGCTCTGTAGTTCGTTCACTCGTTCCTCTTTTTCAGGGTGAGAAACAGAAACAGAAACAGAGAGAAAATGGATCAAAGGAAAGTGGAGGATGAATGAATGGCAGAAACTCGAAACCAAAAACGTAGAGCCTCAACCAGAGACTACTCTTTATTTCACTCCCTCAATTGCTTTGGTTTGCAGTGGCAGAGTTTTCGAAACCCCCACTCAATTCTTTAATTTAGAATTCAATTGCAGAGCCGAGCCGCCGGTTCAGCCACCCCGCCGGCGTCACCCGCTCCACACTCACTTTCAAACGGCGTCGTTTCGGTCTATTACGAGATCCCCCGACAAGACAGATTCGTGGGTAAAAACCTAAATGCATCTCTCCTATGCCTAATTATAACACATCATGTGAATCAAAAATCTAAACTTTGTTTTTGAGTTCTAAAATCAAAGATTTTATTTTTCTCTACTTCAACGACGACCCATGCACCGTTCACGTACCTGCACATACGCTACGGATTATTATTTCGTACCCGCACATACGCTACCGATCATCGTTTGGTTGAAATTGCATTGCTTGAACCTAAAATCTCAAGACTATTCCTTAAGGATTATTGATGTTGTTTTCTTAAATTGATCTATAAACAAAATAGGAATTAATCGTGTCATTTTTATTATTTCTACTTAATTACAAAATATATTGACTAAATAGAGTACTAATTCTATTTTCTTATTAAAAAATAATAAATTTTAATTTTTTATCAATAGTAATATTTTTTTATTTTAACCACTTACTTAAGATTAATGAATAATGAATAATTAAAATAAACTATGTTAACTGAGAAAAGGCTAATATAATTTTTATTCCTCAACCGTCATTAATATAAAACTTAATCACATTTTATTGGTATAATATTTAATAATAATGAAATCTATTTTAACAATATGATTGATGTTTAATTAATACCATAGCTCGTTTTGGTAATACATCAAGCTCGTCTGATTTTTTTTTATTAGACTGAAAATTATTAGTAGTAGTATAAATAAACAAAGAAAAATAAAAACAATTAATAAAAAAAAAGTATAGGTCTAGGAAGAGTAAAATAATTATATAAAATGTTGAGACACGGAATCAGAAATGAAATTGAAATTTACCCCTTTTTAAGAAAGTAATTGTGAGGTGGGTCCCACTAATTAATTCTATTCTTACATCTTAATAAACACCATCCAAGTGTGAAAATTTCATTTTCAATGCCAAAAACAAAACAAAAAAAAGAGTGTAAACTAAATGACCTTTTAAGATCTTTATTTAAAAAGTGATAATTAGTAAATGAGCTTTTTTTTTTCTTTTTTGGGTACTTCTATACGATCATTATGTCTAATAATATATTATTGTACATTTTTGTCAATGCTTTATTTAAATTGAATTGAGGCTTACGCTGTCTGTCACTTTTAGTCTTTTAAGACATGGTTTCAAAGTATACTATATGGTAATGGTTTAATGACAATAAATATGGTTAACTAAGTTAGACCCAGTATTTAAACCTAAATACTAAAACTTATATTAAAATTTTAATTTATCAATGCATATTATTAAAAATTTATAGTTAATTAAGGCATAATGAGTTGTTTGGGAAGTCCAAGCTTATGAAACTCATAAATGTTTATCAGTTGAATCTAAAAAAAGTTGTGAATGGGGTTTGTTGGATGTTATTTTTCGATTTCATTTTTTTAAGTTGTGAAGACGACAACAAAATATCTATCAATATTGACATTTTAGTAGTATTTCCATCAAACGAGACGGGAGGGCATGGTGATTTCTGCATCTCCCTAGACAATTCAATATTATATGCAGACAAAAGATCTGAAAAGAATAATTAACGGTCCTACTGAAGGGGATAAAATTTCCATCCCAAGTATGGAGTTACCAACCTTTTTTCTTTTTACCCCTTTTCTTCAAGTCCAAGCAAATTATTGCCTCTTTCTCAAAAGCCTAAACTGACATGAAACCCCAAGTAACTTTGGCTCTTTTGGCTTACTTTTCCCTCGTATAGAAACAAAAGGTCACTTTGACTGTGAAAAAAGACATCTAAAATTATTGGCAAGAACCCTAAACAAACTGCCCTTTACAAAGGACACCATAGGGGGTAGGGGAGGGCTCATATGATAGAGTTCAAGGTAGTTTTTGCCTAACAAAGGAATGGATTTCAAAACAATTCCTGTAAATCGTGTCTGGTTTTGGATAAAATGATGATTTCGAGCAAATTACCTTGCTCGGTAAAACTTCGCCTAACGTTATTTCTTAAAGAGACGATTTACCTTCGTATCTTAAAAGTGCGTTAACTTAGAAATTGATTCTAAAGGTAACAAGAATCCAGGCTCATCACATTGACCCAGTTGTGCATTTCATCACCTGAACACCACATGTTCAATAAATAGTGGTTCATAAATGGAGAAGCAGATGAAAATGCCATTTATAGCATGTTACCAACAATGTCAACATTGAAAACAACTCTCACATATCATTCAAAAGAAAAAAAGACAAATCAAAAAGGTCATAATTTGGGGAGGAGGCTCACTCAGATTCAAAACTAATTAGTGTGTGTAAGGTGACAACACTGCTTCTCAATCATCATTTTTCCCACTAATAAGCTTCTTGAGATTCTTGAATTTGCCTCACTCGCTGCTTCTACAAACAAACAAAAGGAAAAACCCGACCCCCTCCTCATACACACGTGCACGGTCTCTTGCATGCACGTCGACAAACACAATAACAGATGAATCGTAAATGTTCATATACATACGTTACAGTAGAAAGTTGGCTCATGGATGACTGGTTATGACATTATTTAATAGTTAGACATGACATGGTACCATCAAGTTGTGAATACTACACTATATTATGTAAATGAAGAAGAAGAAATATACATATATATGTGTGTGTAAAAAGAATGCAGTCGAATATGTGACTATGACACATCAAAAACCAAAGAATTTAACAGCCATACCATGCAAACCAACGTAGGATGAAGAGGAAATTCTCACTGGTCGCTATTATTTATCTTGATTTCTATAAGTTCTTCAATTGGTTGACGGCAAATAGGACATTTATTGGATTGAAGCCTCAGTTCCTTGGCACACTCACTGCACATGCACTGCAAACAAAGAAACAAAAATATAGAAATAAGTTGGATAAAAAAATTAAGTACAAAAGTGAAAAGTAGATTAAAAGAGGGAAGGGAAAAGGAAAAAGTGTCTTTGTTACTCGTGTAATATGTGTTTAAAGAAATCAGATGTAGCAAATATTCTATATTAGAATCTGGTTAAATTAAAATAACTTTTAGAGCCATTTTTAGAGCCGTGTCTAATAAGTCTATGAACTTTCAACGCCGTTTAATAAACTCCTTAAGAGTATTTAATAAATATTGAAGTTTTTAATTATGTGTTTAATAGGTGCTTAATCTTTCAATTTCTCTAATTTATAAATAAAAATTGAAATTTCAAGAACTCATTAAACACAATATTGAAAATTTAGAGACCAAACTTGTAATTTTAATTTTAGATGGTAGAAGTTTCAGTTTTTGCATGCCATGAACAAACACTCAAAAGTGAAGTCTCACCATATGTCGGCATGGTAATACGGCGGTATCCTTGGGTTCAGTCATGCAAATCACACACTCCTTCCCGGTGTCGTTGTCGTCAAAGCCTTCTGCTGATGAACTACCTATTCCAAATATCTCTCGTAATTCATATCGCACTCCATCAATCCAAAGAAGCTGCCTAATCACTCTAACTTGGAAAGGACCACCATTTTTCTTCTCCAGAACAGCTTGAGTAATTTGCATATGTGAATTATCTGGTTGAGGCTCGCCAATACGCTCATCATTGGACTGGGAGGGTGAGCAAGTCTCAGCTGAAATAACTAGAGGAAAAATGTCCTCTGCAGGTGAGGGTTTTGAGAGGTCGTCCAACTCAAAAAATCCCAAGTCAAAGCCTGTACCCACAGGCTGAAAGAACTTCTGAGCAGGACCTTTCTGAAATGGGATTCTCACCGGCTTAAAGGCTTCGGGATATACTGGAACAAACCTACAGTTGAGCTCTTCCTTGGCAAAAAATAGAATGGTTATGCTGTACACCATGTAAAAAAAAAAGGAATTAGTTACAGGTAACAAAAAAGTATCTTCAAGGCAGCAAGAAGGAAGCTGATGACTGAAAAAGTACAATGGAGCTTGACAATACAAAATCGAGCAGTAAAATGTACTGGGAGTGTTTAAGGAGTGGCCAAGTATATATATATATATAATATCAATATAACAGCCAACAACAACCCAGTACAGTATCTAAACTAAGCTGGGAGTAATGCACTAAGAGTCCAAAAGGTGTTTGAATCTTGGAGTTTCTTTTTTGTTTTTAAAATGAAGTTGGGATTTCAAAAACATCTCAAAAATAGAAAACATAAAAAAAAAAGTTTTTAAATAAGCTTGTGTTTGAAAAACAGAAAACAAAAACTACAATGATTATCCAACATATTCTAAGAAATGGAGGCTTGTTAATAAAAATTTTATCAACCAAAAATGCCTCCCAGAGAAACTTCAATTTACTTACAGGTCGAACCAGAAGCAGCCTCATAGGCCTTTCCTTGCCAGTCTACTTCTTTCAGTGGCATCCTCCTTGATTATCTTCCCTAAATGCTCCACTAATAATGGATTTTTCCTTTTTATTATTCAGAAGTTTATCTTGTTACAGATAGTTGGTAGTTTCATTTCTCCCAGAAATATGGACAACATATTGTGATCAAGAAATTCTCTCAAAAATAACAATAATAAAACATGTTTTATGTCATATTTTGTTCATTGTCTCGAGTCACTTGTGTTGTTAAGTATTGTGTTGTCAATGTTGACCAAGTCATTTTCCCCTCAAAAAACAAAAAGCAATACAAGAAGCCCAATTCAGCATGAAACCTTTTCACAAAAAATGTAATGGAACGCCAAATTTATATGGCCTTTAAACCAGAGGCCTAGTGATCATTTTTTTTCCTTTTTTCTTTTTATTTTATTTTATTATTATCATTATTTTTTATAACCAGGAGTAGGAGCTTTGCTCCCTATGCCAGGGGCCAGAACCTAGTGATCATCTACTCAAGCAATTAACACAATTTCCCGATTCCCAACACTTCCCAGTTCTCCTCACTTTTCATATGCAAGTCCCAAGCAATAATTTTAAATTGATACAAAAACTAATATTTTTTTTATCCGTGAGTGTCCGGGCCAACTTGTAACCTTAACTAATCTCACGAGACAACCATCTGACCGTACTATATTTAGTTGATTGCTAAGGAAACAAAACAAAACTATAGTACTAAAAGTTGTGACAGTGCTCATCTGAGTAGAATGCCCGGGCCTCTACAATAACACATGAAAGCAACTATGTGATTCAAGGTATAAGGCAATGATCAAGAAGAATTGCTTGGAAGAACTCTACTTAATGGTGCCAGTCATAGTTCAATTTCCTTCCCCTCATTATGTGCTTGGTTCTAGTTAAAATGAGATTATAAGTACTCCAAGACTACTAGATATCAACAGCATATGTTCCCTAAGCACCGGATGAATACAAACAGGCATTGTGAACTTCCATTCAGCAATAAGAAAATGACATCATGACAAGCAGTTTATAACTAAGCCCCTTGATTTCCCCTTAACTTAGACCTGGCTAAACCTCTGCAAGGTTTTAGAGAAGTCCCTCACCTCCCAACGTAGCAAGGGAAATCCAAATCATGAACCATTTCAAATCGCTCCAAATCATTCTACCGCCACCCACATCCCCAGCACAACACTAATTATTAACCAGAACACAATTAAGCGGAATTCAAATGGAAAATTTAGAGTTACCTTCCGTCATACAACGCGTCGAAAACGAAGGAAACCAAGTGACGATCGGGGTTCTGCTCATCCACCTCAATCCGCAGAGTATCCTTATGCACATTCACATCATTTCTAACCTTCTTCGCCTGCCGGTGCTCCACAAACGGCAGGGGCGGGGGCGGAAGCAACGGCGGACCCATGGCCGGCCGAATTTGGGACCACCCATTACTCTGATTGGCATAATAAGGATGAAAATTGAACCGCCCCATGGTAGAAGCCGCATAATTACACGAATTATACCCACCAGAAAAGTAGTAGGAGTGAGGAGCAGGGGGAGGCGGAGGAGGAGGGGGTTGCAGAGGTAGCGGCTGCGGAGTTGGAGCGTAAGGGTTGCTGTGCGGCGGCGGCGGCGGAGAAAGAGACGGAGGTTCAGAAGGGTAATAGAAAGAGGAAGAAGAGAGGTACGGCGGAGGCGGAGCAGGGTTTTGAAGGTAATTGTTTCTTCTTCTGTTACTCCATGAAATACCCATTTCTTGAGAATCACAGAGAGAGATCGGAGGGGAAGAAGAAGAAGAAGAAATGGTGAATCCCAGGTTTCGGATTTTTGCTCTAAGAATTGGAAAAAGTAATTTTGTGTGAAGTTGAAGAAACCAGTCCCAGTCCTCGTTTATTCAGCCGTTGACCTCCGTTTTCTATTTGACGGTTCCACCCGGTTTCCGACGTGTCGTTTTTTCCCGGTGAGATGACGACCACGCGTCTCACACGTCCTTCTCTACCGACATGTAGGTAAATCAACATGCATTATATTACATGTCGTCCTTGTTCTTCCAAATCCTAACTGTGGCATTATTGAAGTCAAAATATTTTGAGTCCACTAACAAATCATGGTAGAACTAAAAAAAAAATTATAATAACGTAATAAAAATATTTTTTTGAATTTATAAAAATAATAGCATGCGCATATAAATAAATAAATAAAAGGCTACAATATTTGATTTCTTAGGTGTAACATTCACAGCTTCATGGATTTTCGATGAATTTTTAATTTTTTTTGTTTATGCTTAATAATTAGAATACGTGTCTTATCACATTTTTAGCATTGTATTTTAGTTTTTTACTTCAATTTCTTCAATTTTATATTTTCTGCTTGATTAGACTCCATGCACGTCCATGTCATTATTAAGAAATAACAAGAGTTCATCATGTACCAAATTAGTTATGATTGACTTAGAAAATTAGTTAGATAAATCCAACCAACATTTTTTACTGCGTTGTAGTCATTTTTTTTTCTTTTTCAATTAAAATAATATTTTAAAACCCAATCTATTTTTCAATTAAATGCGACTTGCACATCTTTAATTATTAAAATAAAATCATTCCTATGAAACTTATAATAAACTTTTATAAATAATTTGTCGCCTTGGGTTTCTGTTATTTTTCATTTTCGAATAGTAAATTTTAGTAAAGTCTTTGTCAAGTATTTTTTATTTTTTATTTTTTGTGCAAATGTTGAAGCAAAGTCTCCAGATTTCAGGAACTTGAAGGAGAATTTACCCCAAAAAGAAACTACAAATTCAAAACTTTTCCAAAAGCTCTGCTTTTTTTTTTTGTGCTTTTGATTGAAGCTTTAATATACTTAGTCTACAGCGACGGACATCTTCTGCCAAACGTCTCTTCAAAAGAAAGTCGTCACCAATCGAGCTTAAAATTTTCTCGAGAACAGGAAAATTTCCAATACAAACGGTTTCCGAGTTACAGAGACTTACATTATCACACAGAAGGCAAAAGAAAAACAATGCAAAAAAACAGCAACAGTACTTATTCTATGTGTTGAAGAAAAACACACCACAATGTGATCTAAGTTGCTTGAAAGGGAAGAAGCAGAGAAGACATTGAGGGTAAGAATCAGCAAAAATCGGGCCTCGGTTTCTTGCGAATGGATACGCAGCCACGCTGATGATCTCGAAAGATTCTGATCTCGGAAAACTCCCTTAGATCCTCAAGACTAATGTACTGCTGCTTCACCATTCTGATGGAATCACCCCCGGTTTCATGTATCCAAACATAAGGTTGAGAAGCTTGATCGTAGTAATAAAGCAAGCTCTTCATACTCCTCCCTGTTCCCGGCATGTATGCTTTGTAAATGCTCTTGCATTTCAACCTCTTTGAGCATCCTGGCTTCAAACTATGCACCTTTTTCAATATTGATCCTACCCTTATCTGCACCTCGACCGCCCTGTCGCTCATATTCCATATTCTCGTCCCCAACCCCGACGCTCCACCGTGCTCGACGCACCCGTCGAAGCACCTCCCGAGCCTGAAAACGCCCAGCCCCGGCATGTCACACCACAATCTCTCCCTCCCTCACCTCAAACTCTTGAGACCCTTAATGGAGAATATGGATAGCCCCTTCCATCAAGGAATTGGTAGGGTCCTCATAGGCCACAGAATTCAACAAGCATGAAATGGGGGAGTGGGGAAAAAGAGGCACAAGAAAATTGCATTGAAAGAATAAAAATTTTGAGGGGATTGAGAAATTCTCTATGGTGGTTTGTTGAGGAAGGAAGATTTAAAAAAAAGTAAATAAATAAAAAAGAAAGGGCAATGGTGTAAAAAGAAGTTCAAAGCTTCATGATGAGGGTTGCATTTGAAAATATGATGTTGCTTCCACCTTTCATGATGAAATATTTTTCTTTTGGTTCACTCCACTGTTCATCTTTCAACAACAACCTTCAATCATCTTAGAGAAGATTGTGGGTAGATTGATTGTGAGATTCTTGCTTTAGGAGGAAAAAAAAAATAGAATAAGAATCAATTTTTAAAGTTAAAAGTTGTTTACTTCTCAATTAAGTTCTTATTATCACTCAATGTTAAAATTAATTGAAAAAAAATCCGATGATATAACGTGGAACTACTCCTTGTTAGTTAAGTTAGAAGTACTTTATATTTTAATTTGATGAAATAGAGACATGCTATTTACTAGTTTTATATGACCTAGTATGTTGTAACTTATAGAAAATTGACACGTTAAAGTGTTGGTATACTAACAATTGATAAACTCATAAAAATTACTATTTTAAAATTGATATACCGTGATTCATCTAATACTTAGTTATGGCGATATAACAACTTAATTGAAAAAAAAAAAAAAATACATAAGATAGTTAATTGAAACTTTTAAAATATTATAAACCAAATTAGAAATACACTTAAATACAGGTTAAAACATATATTTAGTTTAATTTGATCCAGTAGTTTGGGATTTTGTTTTATTTAAACTCTATTGTTAATATTATTAACACTACGTTGCTAGTTCAACTAAAATTATGTATATGAATAAATCATTAGTGATACTATTTTGGTTCATATATTTTGTTTTGATTCATTTTGATCGGTGTTATTTTCAACATTTATTTTTCTTTTAATTATGGTTCATTTTAGTCTCTATACTTTCAAAACGTTCCTTTTGATTATTATACTTTTAAAAAATTGATTATTTTGGTCTCTATTTGTAAAATTTTAACATAGATTTTATAAAAAGATGTAGACTCTTTAATACAAAATTATGTTACATTTCAAAAAATTTAGTGAGTGGAATGTTACGTTAAAATTATGATAGATAAAAACAAAATAGAAGTGACCGAAAATGGATATTTTACATGGACTAAAATGAATAAAAATTAAAAATACAATGCTAAACTAGATATTTTGAAAATATATGAACAAAAATGAACGAAACAAACTATATGGACCAAAATAATATTTATACCTATTAGAGTCTACAGGCACGTGATTTTACTTTTAGATTTTACCTAATAAAAATAAGCTAATGTATAATTGAATCTCTAATGTTTGGATATTTTTAAATTTTGTCTCCTTTTTTCAATTATTATTAGTGTACTAACTTTTTAATAACAAACAATTTTGGATCAAGGATACCACGCAGTGATATTTCTATCTCATCAAATCAAAACATAGGATACTATTTGATACTACATCATAATTTTATCTATCCAAACTTTTGTTGCAACAAAGGCTGATAGAAAAAAGAATTAGCACACAACAAATGAAATCGAAACTTTAAAAATATTATGAACCAAGTTGAACATTTTCCCGATATCCATGAAAATATTACCCCCTATTTCTAATATCGATGTAGGACCATGTTTGCATCCCAAGTGACTTTCATATCAACTCGGACTTTTGAACACACATTGAAGAGATGAACTCTGTTAAAATTTTGCTAATTTTTTTTCCTAGGATGATTCAAAAGTTTAGGGACTGCCTACAATAATTATGATGATATTCATTCATCCTGAAGACAGAAGCTACTCTAACAATCCACTGCTAAGCCAAAAGAAATCAAGCTTCTTCTACAAATGGAGATAATCAAGTCCCTAAGTTTATGTACAGATCAAAAGTTATTCTCAGTAATTGTGGAAGGAACCAAAATGGTTCATCAAGAACATGACCTTATTTTTCATGGCTATTTTCAGTTGGTTCTATCTTGATTATCAGAGGCTGCTTCAGATCTAAAGGAGCAACCGCAACAACAGGTAGCTGAGCCGAAGCGATATCATCGTAATCGTTGTAATCCTCGTTTTCGGCCAAAGCTTTCTCTAGAGCAGATTTGGCAATTCGTGTGATGCAAACTATTAGAACCACTGCCAATTCGAAGAAAAATAATTTAAGGTTCTTCATGTTGTCAACACTAGCAAGGATAAAAATTTGATGCTTAATACAGACGGGGAGGTTTGGAGCTGCCTTCTCTATTCTATAAACTTTTGTTAGGTCCCTTATCTAGGAGACACTTTTTGGTTCATCAACCTTGGCCAAATTCTATTTTTGGATTGAATACCTGAGTTTCTTGGACTTTGATACCATATTAATATTATGGGGTTCCATCTTTTCGACCAATTGACAATAAGAAGAGTAGTCAATGTCTATTATAAACTTTCGTTAGACCTCTTATCTTTCCAATGTGAGATCTTTAACACAAGCAAGTGCGTTAAGGAACTAAATATCGTTATATATGCGAGCGTGAGCGAAGTAGCACTTACCAGATACCAAAAGACCGAGCATGATAAATGCCTACGTCCACAAGAGAGCAAATTTACATCATACTAGAAAGGGAGATAATAACAACTGTCGAACCTGTAAAGTTAGCTTACCCAATTAGACTTTGAAAATTCATTCCAGCTGTGAGTCACATCAGATAGATCCTTCAGAGTTGTTCCCATGTATACTAATCCAACTGTAATTGGCTGCAAACGATATAACGATTTCAACGTCAATAAGTTAAGCACACTAATCTCACGGAACAAACATTTGACCCAGCGACAAGAACAACAAACATTTCAGAGAACCATTTAAGCTATCAGTATGATTGATCTAACGAGTACCAATGACTATCTGTAGACCTCTTTTTGCAACAAATCCTAACATTTCGATGAAAACTCGTAAGGTATTTAAATCTCAGATAGTACAGGCATAAGAAGATACCATCATTCCCAACCAGGAAGCCAAAATGTAGTCCCCAAGTGAAATAGGAGTCACAGACAAGAGATAATTCATGATATTGAATGGAAGTAAGGGAACAAGCCGAAGTAACAGAATAATCTGCACAAGAACAAGTGAAAGTTTGAAGAAACGTGTTACAGATCATACTCATAATAGCACTCAAAAGTTCAACTACAAACCTTAAATCCAGATCTGTGGATTGCAATTGCAACCGAGCGAAACTGCGGATAGTCCTTCAACTTGGAGATAACGAACGATTTCCCGATCTAAACGACGTAGTAAGAGACTTGACAAAATGCTGCTGCTGCTATCACAGGTATGATTCCAAAGAAAAGAATCCAAAAACTTACGGTTCTTCCAAGAAGAAATGCAGCAGCAGCACCAGCAGTTGCACCAACAGAATCAGCAACGATGGCAATGGGCAACCCAAATAAGTAACCTCCCCCAAGCTGAGACAGAAAATGCAGATTAAAACTTAATGATGGCTTAAAAAACTTGATTAAAGTTTTTAATCTTACAGTCAGGATTGAGGCTGGAACAGCCATGATTGTGAGTGGAATGTATGCAACAGCCCTGCATTTAACAACACTCATAAGAATTGTGGATATTGTGATTGAATTTCGACAAGTTGAGAATCAAAGTGGGTGGAGTTTGAGACTCACAGGACAACTGGACCCCAGAGGCCAAGATCATGATGAACCCATAATAAGAAATGCTTCAAAATCTGAAGAGAACAATGTTGCTGCTTTGCTTTATAAATTAATCTTTGGGAAGAAAGCAAATAACTAAGGTATAAGTAAGAAAGGGACTTCATAGGTTCACTGCTCTGTGTATTGTGGCTCGACATGGTTTAATCATCGGATCGGTGGTCCGATGGAGAAAAAAATTATTCAATATGGTCGCTACGAGCTACTTCTTCGAGCTACAATGTATCTTGACCGTATTCTGTGGTGCTGCGTTCGACCTATTTGAATTCATTTCTTGGAGGTCTTTGGGATTTCCTTGCCAGGGGTGTAGAGCGATGATGGAGGAAGTGTTGCTCTACCCCCGTTTCAGTATAGAGGAAGGCTGTTGTGGCAAGTTTTTTTTTTTTACTATTCTGTAGGGGTGTTTGACATAAAAAAGGCATAGCTAATTTTAAGGGGTCGAGAGGTCTCTGGAGGAGGTTTGAAATTATTAGATTTAATTCCTCGTGTGTGTCAGTTTTGAAGGACTTTTGTAATTCTAAGTTAAGTGTTATTCTTTTGGATTTGAGCTCTTTGATATCAACCGGTCTTTTTTTGTTGGGCTCGTTTTTTTGTATGTCCTTCATATATTCATTGAGATAAATCTCAATATGAAAGCTCAGTTAAAAAAAATGTCGCTATACTCTAATAACCATTTGATACATATTTGAACTTGAGTTCTTCGAATTCTCTCATACATCCTATAGTGTAGAATCATGAATCAATCACGTTCTTCTACCCCTCAAATTATTTCTCTTTAAAATTTCTTAACTCTTTTCTCCCTCTAAATCTTTTTTCTCTTCTTTCTCTAACTTTTCTCAATTCCTCCTTACTCTCTCTAAAACTTCTCTCCCTTTCTCTCTCTCTAATTTTTTCTCCATTTATTTCTCTAAATTTTCTCTCTCATTTTCTCCCTCTTTAAAATTTTTCACCCCAACTTCTCTTTGTTTCTCTCTTGACCTCCCTCTCTTACTTTTGTCTTTGTTTTGTCTAAAAATTTCTCTCTATAACTTTTTCTCTTTTCCCCCTCTAAAAAAACCTCTATCTTTGACTTTTCTTTAAAAAATATCAAATTCAAATGTATTTCGTCGATTCAATTTATCATATTTTTCGGCTCGTCAACCTTATTTCATCTAATTTTTGTTTACTCTTTTGTTTTATATCGTCTTAAATCCTAAGTTATTAATTTTTTTTTGGATAACATGGGATGAGGAGTAAAATTCTCAAACTCTTGATTTGAGATATGTGTCAATGATGCTCACTTTAGCCTAAGTTATTAATTTAATCAACTTCACGAATCAATTTGAGTTAAAGTCGAGCAACAAAATGTGGCTATGCAAATTCATGAAGTTAAATTGAAGAAGAGGAAATTTGGCTATGGTAAAAGCATTTGTTGAACAAATAATTTAAATGCAAGTAATAGATTCAATTTTATTTATGTTTTAAAATTTTCCACATCAGTACCTACACCTTTTAAGTTTGATAGACATTTTAATAAAATTTGCTAGTTTTTTTTTTTAAAAAATAAAATAAAATATTGGAGTAGATCATCAATCATCGAAGATATTGAAGGTAAAATTAAAACAACTTAAGCAATGACATTTTACATAATTAGTCTTTATAATATGTTGTTTTTTAATTAAAAAAACCACGAAAAATGAAATGTGTAATTGGCGACCCTCACCAAAATAAATAATTTTTTTTTTATGGTACAAATTAACGTTATGAAAGTAAAATAAAGTAACTGAGGTTTTGAAATTACGAAGATGAAAATGTGAAGGCTCAAAATAAAATACATCATAAAATAGTATATAAATTTATTGAAGTAATTTTCTCCCGGTTTAAATTCCCACGTGATGAAATGCAAAAAAAAAAACAAAAAAAAAAAGTTTCCAATACCATTTTGGTAATATAGTTTCACTTTTTTACCTTAAAAAATCTATTTTAGTCTCTCTACTTCTAGTTTTTACCGATCCAGTTTCTATACTTTTATTATGATTGTATGATTGTTTAAATTACAATTTTAACACAATACAATTCGTAATTTCTTGAAACATAATCATAATATATTGTATTAAAGGATTATAATTGAAAATTGAAATAAAAATAAAGCTGAAATTACAGTTAATAAAATAGTATTAAACAAAAACAGGAGGCAATTTTACAGATGAAGCAACGGAAACAGAGCAGAAAAAAAGAAGTAAAGGGGACCTTTTGGAGAGGGAGAGTGAAGCAGGCGGTGGCAACGGCGGCGACGAGGAGGATGAGGAAGCCGATTCTGAAGAAAAAAGCCATCGGAAATTGAAAACCCTAGATCCGCCGGAATTTTATCCCCCTTCTCTCCGGCGAGCTTCTTTCAGAGAATCAATCGGATCTCCGGCAGGCCATCGGACGCGGTGGCTCTCCGATCTATCTCAGTCCCTCCGCCGCGTCGGCCATGATTAAAGATTTGGATAAGAACGTCCTCTCATCTCTTGCTTCTACTTCTCCGTTGTCCTTTCCTTTTCCTATAATATATATTTTCAATTTTCAGATTTTTTTCTTTTAATTTTAGTTTTCCATCTTTTTAAATCTTTATTTTAGTCCTTAATTACTTTTTAGGTTAATTACTTTCTAGGTTTAGGTTCATTTTTAAACTTTCAAAATTTTTAAGACAAGAATATATGTGGGAGGATTCGAACCCACGACTTATCTATTAATCAAACAAACTATATTATGTTTAGATCAACTAATATGTTTCGGATTAACTCTTAAATTATATGTATTTGAAATTTCCACGACAACCACCAACTAATTTTTGTCAAAAAAAAAAAAGAAAAAATAAACTAAACTCAATACATTTGATTGCTAAGGAAATACATAGGACATGTGATCATTACAAGATTTTAACTCATTCTCCTATAAATCGTTTTGACTTTTTTTAATACAACATATGAGGTGGAGATTCGAACTCATGACTTTTTGGTCAAAGATAGGTGTCTTAATGAGACATGCTCGATTTGGCTAAATCAATGAGCCAATTGATGATAGCTGCTCCTATATTGATTTAACTTGGCTCATTTGAATCAATGAGTCAATCGATGATAGTTGTTCCTACATTTTTTAACTTATATTTACTTTAGTTTCTGTACTTTTAGAATATTTGTTTGGACCTCTATACTTCAAAAAAAGTGATGCCTTTTGATCATTTAATTTTATTTTTAATCTCTTTTTTGTATCACAATTTCAACACGATGATAAATTCAACATGTTTATTAAAATATAATCATGACTCTATATTAAATAGTTCAGTATAATTTATGTAAAAAGTTTCAAAATAAGGATGAAAATGGTTACGTTTTTCTTATAGAAAAAAGGATAAAAAACCATTTTGAAAATATACTAAATTTGAAAAACCCTACTCAAGTTTATCCCTTTAATAAAAGAAATAAAGTGGATTCCACAGGTGATTGAAATAAACTAATAATTTATTATTATTATCATTATTATTATTTTGACTTTAGTGCACTGTCCGTCTTTTAAAAATTGAAAAAACAAATTCACCAAAATTTTTTTTTTTTTCCCGAATACGATAATTTGGTGACATGGGAGACTCGTTGAACTTCCACCCAATCAAATTTTTATTTAGGAACGTTGAATTAACTAATTGACCATTGTGCTTCCATTTATCAATATTTTAATATTCATTTTTGTTATGGGATAAACTTATTTTATATATATTTTACCCAATATTAATCTAACTAATCTTGTGGCGTAGAATTAATTGAGAGATTTCTTACAAAATTTAATATTGGGTAAAATATAATGTTAATGTTCATTGATAAAATTTAATTTGACTCTAACATGAACATAACTCAACAAATTAATGAGTTACTTATTATTTTCTACAAGTTCGAATCTCCATCCTCTCCCTCCTAATTTGTTCAAAGAAAAGAAAGTACAATACCAACAGATGTTTTTCTACATACAAATTTTTCCCTAACCCAAAATAACCAACAGCTTCAACAGACAACCATCCTACCAAAATCCCAAAATTCTAAACAAAAATAAAGAAATTATACATTATTACCAAGATGATGTATATATATATATATATATTAAAATCATAATTATTATTATAGCCTGTCTTACTACAAATAAAATTTCACCACTCACCCACCAAAATTTACAGAGCAATACCAACTATTTGCTGCTGCTTCTGTAGTTCATCACAGAACCAGTATCAGTTCTTCAATATCAGCTTGGATAAATCCTCCATTAATGGCCATTTTTAAGCTACCAAAGAATGTTGTGAATCTAACTAAAAAAATGGACTTCCAGTTATGTTCTTCCTCTCAATTGGTATGGATGAATCAAACGCAGAGGGCATTGAGAAGTATATGAGCTAACATCAGGTCTACGAAATACTGGTGCCCGATTTCGCCGTCCCTCCATTTCATCTTGGCCGGGCCTCGCCCGTAATGGACTCCGTCGTTGCACCGGTTGTCGAAATGCCAGGGGAATGTCATGTCGAAGTTGTCGATCACGCCGTGGATGACCCCCGATCCCTTAAACTTCTCCAGCACCACCCAGTTGAACACTTCCATTTTGTAGGGATTGAACGCGAGCGTTCGAGCGTATCCACCGGTTGCGACTGTGGTTCGGTAGAACACTTTCGGGGCTACTAATCCCCTTTGCTTGATGGATTCCAAAACTTGCTTCCAAAAGGATGCAGCATAGGCTGCCCCAACGGAGAAACCTCGGATACTAGTCCAGTGAACGCCATCGTGGAGGCCCGAGTTCATGATGATTGTGTCGGGAACGGTTTCTTCTGAGAAGTACTTGTACAGAAGATTTCTGAACCCTTCATTTCTCAAGGAATTTAGACCTTCGTAGTTCTGTGTATCATTCCAATGCCCATTGAAGATGCTGGTAATGCGAACGGTTTGAGATGGATTGTTCGGGTTGGAGAAATTCCTATCGAATCGCCTCGGAACCGAGGGGATTTCGGGCAAATCCAAGACAAAGTTGAGGAGATTCCTGATCGTATCGACATGATTCGAATCGCCCCAAAAGAAAATCCATCGACCCTGCAAGCAATCCCAAGCAGAACCAGTAGAAAACATCTGAAACGAACAATGAGCAGAGTAAACCCACCCATTGCTCTCCAACAAACCCAACGACCCATTACACCAAGGCCTCCGGCAAGGATAATCCGGCGGAAAACATCGGTACCGACCGTCATCGCTGATCTCGCAGCTGTCATTCCTCCCCTGCCGAGTCCACCGCCCGCTCCAAATCTCTCTTCTAAAATCAGAGCTCCGGCAGCTCTTAATCTCCGGCAACACAACTGCCGTCTTGTAGAACTGGACCCTGATTCTCCGAAGCTCCCGATCGTAGGCGAATCGCGTCGGGGAAAGCTTAAGCCCCTCGAAATGTCGAAACAGAAGAATGACAGTGAGATTGTACTCTCCTGCGAAATCAGGGTGCACCTGAAGCGTAAACGAGTAAGACCCATTACCGAAATCCTTAACAAACGGCCGAGATTTCCACAAATCGCCGGAGAGATCAGTTTCAAAATAGTCTCCCCCCAAACAATGAGGGTTTCCAGATTCATCCAGAGCTTGAAATTGGAACTCATGAACGTCCCCTGTAGAAAGCTTCACCATTTCCGAGCCTTCCATCCCGGCGATGGCGATCTCCGCCGTCTGCGAGTCCCGGCAAGGCTCGCCGCCGGGGGCCATCCACAGAGCGAGAAGATTCGAGGTAAAATTCGGCTCAATCCCAGCTGAAAACCAATCAGAAACAGACCCATCGGAAACCGCCGGTTCGGTGGAGTTTTTCAGCGGCGGAACGGGTTCGATCAAGACGGATTTGGGGTAATTTTCGGGTTTGTAGGAGGTGAAATTGGAAGAAACAGAGAAGAAATCCTGTGGGGAGGTCCAAGTTTTGATGAAGGTTTCAATGGTGCAGCCATCGATGCTCCAAAGAACCAACATACTTAGAAGAATCAACGCCGTTAGAACCCCAAATCGGTAATGCAACAAAGGAGAAGCCCTCGGAAGCCATGAATTTGACGTCACCGGAAGCAACCCCTTTTCCGGCATCAGAAAAAATCCCCCTTCTTCTCCTTTCTAAAAGCTAAAGATTTCCTTTCTCGATAGAACAAAACACAAAACGAAAAAACAAAGCAAAAAGAACGGATTTTTACTTACGGGGCTTACTCGAAAAAGCCAGAGATCTCTCTGTTTTTGCTTTTTTTAAGGATTGTTCTTCAGCAGAAGGAAGATTAGGCGAAATGCAGATGCTTCTTCTTCCCCGCTTGCTGTTCTTCTTCTCCAAATTTTATAAATTTTTAGAAATGGTAACTAATTACAAACAAATTTGGGCAAAAATTAGACGGAAAAAAGAGGGGGAGGAATTAAATTATTGAAGTAAAAAGGTTTTCTTTTGTCTTTCTTTTCCTCTTCTGTCGGGAGAAAACAGAGAGAATTATGGGGCGGAGCTTGGGGAAAAGACAATTTTGTGAATGGACGGTTTTACCCCGCTGGGTCCTTTCCGAAACTACCGTTTCCACAGCAACGCGGTGCACCGACAAATGCACAACGTTCATTCCCAACGCACAATTATTGAAGGGACCTTCAGTAGGGGTGTTTTCGTCATTTCGCTCGTTTTTGGATTTTTTATTGATTTTATTAATGCATGAGGATTCCGAGATTGTAGGTTGCCACGTGTACCCCATGCCATATGTTTCTTATCGGGTTCCGGGCCCAAGGAGGACCGTATAGATTTACGGCAGAATCCGACCCGGTTAAAAAGCAACAATTTTGGTTGCTTTTATTTGATTAAATAGAATTATCTTGTGTATATTTTAAATAAATTAAACTAGTGGGATATTTCGAAAAATTACACCTACCTTGGCAGTTGGAATTAATTACGTAACAGGTAATAAAAGTATTCATGTAAATAAATACACCACACAAAAATTAATAATTTGTTAATTTGAAAATGGGTGAGAGTTATTATAAAAGAACCAACCATTGCTGGCCACGTGGGTCCACCGGTGGCTCCGGCCAAAGATGGATAGTGGGATTGACATGGTAATAAATTTATGATCCAATTTCTTTTTCTCAAAAAAAAAAAAAAACAATTAAAAATGAATAAACGATTCTCTTCCATTAATCAAATTAATCTAGCTCAACGATAATTGACATATATCTCAAAATCAAGAGGTTGAATTCGATCCCCCACCTCCATGTTGTACTAAAAAATATATAGGGTAAATTAAAAATTAAAAAAACCACTCAAGTAATATTTTCATCCTTTAAAAATTTTCAATATCTCTACTAGAATAAACATTTAAAAAATACTCCTAATAAAAAATAGAGATGTAAAAGAAATTATTGTTTTTTTGAAGGGAAAAAAGTCAAATTATACCCGATTTTGCCATAACCTTCTTTTAAAAAAAGATACGTCACGTGCCATGTCGTTCTAAATTATGTCATATCAACTTTCCGTTCAAAATATTGATGAGTGTTTACCCAAATAATATTTTTGAGATGTTTAAGATATGAGTTTTTGTATAAACAAATAGTAAAGTTTAGTTTGATTTTAATTTTAATTTTAATTTTTATTGTACTTTAACCTATATATTAGTATCTTATTAAACTAGTTCTACTTTTAACGCCTTTATCTTTTATTAAATAAACGGTATCAATTCAAATGAAAAATTAATCCAAAATCAGTTAACTTCATTCACTATTTGAAATAACATAATTAATACAAAAACCAAAATTAATCTCTAAAAAATAGAGAGACAAAATATAGGAATGGAGAAGTATGATTTAACCTCCATTGGTTTAAATGAATTAATCTGGAATCTTTATATATGCATATAATACTGACACAAAAACCAGTCTTGTAGCTTATTGTAAGCTCTGTGTAAATAGTAACCAAAGTTATGGACAGAACAACAGAAGAAGAATTCCAACTCTCTCTCTGAGAATCTTTCGTACCCATTAAAGTAATACTCTTCAGATTTCAGAATCTAAACCCATCTCAATATGGAGATATGATCAAATGCAACAAGGAGAAAAGGAAGTAAAATTTAAAAGCAGTAAAAAAAGAAAAAAAAAAAAGCTAAGAAGCCACAGTGAGTAGCAGGCAGATGAATGAAAACTAATGCCATGGATCATCCCACCCCTTAGGACCCTCCCTTTTCACAAAGTCAACAATGGCATCAACTGCTTCATTAACTCTGTTAGACAGAGAATGATTCCCATGTGCAATTTCAACTTTCTCTGCACCTCCCATTGATTTGCACAATCTGCATCACCTCATAACAACAACAACATTATTCGTTAAGAATCAAAAGCAAAGTAAGGCGGCGACTATGCTTCCCCTAAAACCCGAAGACTTTGATTTCTCATGAAGTATTGATAGAGTTAATCGGTGAATCCCATTGTTTAGTGTGAACCCACCCACAAACAATGGACTTTAAATTTATTGACACCAAAGAAGTATATGTAACAAGAGGTTGTAGTTTACCTAACAACCAATGCCTTCTTATCCACATATTCTGGCACATATTCATCACCCATGGAATAGATGACCTACAATTAACATGAACGCCACCATTAGCGATAACATAAAAAGATGATGGCTTCAGCTTTACGATTTTCAGTCCGAAAGAAAAGCAGCAACTTTACATTGTTCGAAAATTGAAAATTCTTTATATTCAAGTCTTAAATATCATGCATGAAACTTTTATTGCAATAAACACGGTTTAAGAGCCATTTCTCCACTCGGATAGGCTAGAGAGAGAGCGAGAGAGATAGCGAGAACTATGCATGCAGACCTGGCACGGTGTGTTAGCCATGTGGCCCAGTCTCATTCTCAGCTGGTCATCAGTAAGGTCAGAGCTGAACATGTCATCATCCCCCATGTACGAGCAAAGGGAATAATACCTGCAAGTAGCTAATAGTAGAATTAAGAATTGCAATCTTGAAAAACATTAATCAAACACACCACAAATTTTAAAATAATAATAATACAAGGTGGCACAGAACAGAAACAATAACAAAAGATAGTGAAAGTGCAGCTTCTGTTTGGTGAGATAGGCGAACCTCAAAGGGAATAAATTTTCTGGAGGAATTGTGCAGCACAGCTTTGTGGGCTGCTTGGATGAAAAGGAATACACGAATTTTTTAGGATATTTTCTGGAGTTTAAAGAGTATGGTTTTGCACATAGCCTATAGGTGGTATATATTGGGCATAAATTTTGTAATTACTCCTGTTCAAATTCCTACCTGACCTAAAGGGTTTTTTTTTCTGCTTTGGTTGGATTCTTTGCATGATACCTATCTGGCATGGTGCAAAGAAGGAAGGAGGGAGAGAGGCAATTAACCCGTCTTATTTTGTCACGATTCAGAAAGTATATATAAAATACTAATGATTTTGTAGTTTTCGTCTAATTTCTCCCCTCATAATTTTAGAATTGAAAAATTATACATATATATAAAAGGTTAGCCTGTAAATTTGTCCCCCCTTAAGAAGATTTCTAGCTCCCACCCTAATTTCTATCGTTGTTCAATAAAATGTCTCTTACACCAAAAAGGAGATGGTAACAGGTTCAACTTTCACACTTTCTGACGACCAACCCAACTTCCAACTCACTTCAAAATAAATAAAGACATTTTGATCTCATACTCACCTATTGGCAGTTATTGGAGAAGATGGGTCCGCATCTCTTGGCATAAGTTCTAGTCCTCTGCCTTCACTAATCATAGTTGAAGCCAAGTCAATCATGGCTGCTGTTTCAGGAAGAGTCGCTCTATACTCTCGATCACTAACTGGAGCCTGACCATGTAAACAAGACTCAAAAACACCTAGAAAACTACGTGCATCCATAGAAGGAACTAGATACTATCTTAAAGAAGTTGACTACAAATTTTTTAGTGCCAAGTGGCAAATAACTCCTTCATTTTTATAACCATGGGCATCAAGAAAGCTTACCAGTTATGCTATTATAAAGGAAAACTGAATGACCAGATATAATAACTGAACAACCCTACAATTAAGATATAATTTAATATCCTAAGCTATCGTGATTTGAACTCACGACCAAGTATCTAGGTTTTTAACTCACCACAAGTACTGGTCAAACATACCACTCATATATCATGCACCAAAATTGGCGCTTAAAGCTTTTGACCCTTTTAAAAGCACCTTTCACTTAATGATATTTGGCTACATATAAAAAATCTGTTTCAAAATTTTTAAAAATTATAATAGAAGTGCGTTTTATTTAAACGTGCTCTCAAATTCACCCTGAAAATTCTTTTAGCTAATAGTAAAGCCGTTTATTTAAAAATGCTATCAAACTCAACCTTACATATTATACTGTATCATGATAAGAGCTCCCTCTTTCAGATAAAAAAGTTGGAAACTCTTGTTACATAAGAAAATCATATTCTTTATTCCCCAATCTCTACCATTTTCATCTTGCTATTATGCGACACCAAGTAGAAGTTTAACTACCAGAAACCTAGGTGGATGAACCCAGAATTTTAATGCTGGATGTTTAAATGTTCAGTTAGTTTGGAAGAAGTTCTACACCAACACTAATTTTTTTCTTTTCAGATGTGAATCTTCTGACTTCCACTAAGGGAGCACACAAGAGATAAGTTATTACCTGCAAAATGGCACCACGAACTGCCCGAGAGCAAGCTGCATTTGTACGCATATAATGGACTATATCCTGTAAAAATGTCCAAAAAACAGAGTTAGATGAGATTTCCGACTGTTGATCAAAACTTCAGCTATACTGTAGTTCAAGAACTTTCAGCAATTACCTGACAGCCTGTACTATGTCCAAGTAATACAACACCCTCAGAATCTTCTTTATTGATCAGATAACTTATTAGCTGATCAAGCTCCATGGCGTCCTAAATCAAATCAAGATTCTTTTACAATGACAGAATCTCCAAGTCTAGAACTAGACAGCTTATCACCTCAGGTCATCTAATTAACCTCTAAATCCAGATAAAAATGAATACTACATACTAGAGTTTGTCAAGTAGAAAGTCGTATTTCTTCGTTGAATAAACGAAAGTAATTTTTACTAATCCGACTTACTTGTTGCAAGCTGGAGGTACCATATCCACTATAGGATGATGAGAGAAGTATCTGAACAAGTGACCATTTTTCTTTATCCAATGCAATTGCAAGAGGTTCCAAATACCTGCAGAACAAGTAGAAAATCACATTTCTTAACAAAACCAAAAGGTAAGTCAGGAACTGTACTTCCAGACCATACAACATCAGAAATCAATTTCTCTAATTTTCATCAATATTATAGGTGTGTATATTGAAGAAACCAATCAGTCAATCCACATCAACATTATCGGTGAGTATTTTGATAATAATTGAAAGGAAATGGGAAATAGTTTCTGTGAATTTAATTTAGGCCCATAAGTCAAGCAAATGAAAGGTATAATTGCAGAAAGACTCAATATAAACATACTCTACTGCCATAAAGCCATCTGTCAATCCACCAATGAATATGACTTGCTGTTTGAAATCGCCTGTCTTAAATGCAACCTGCATAGGGAAGGACACGGTTAACAAGGTATCATGCAGAAAATAAATGTCATAACAAGGAATACAGGAGTTTATTCTGGTCACGAAACCAGGAAATGGAATCAAATCTTAGTAGCAGGGAGCATATGATCCCCATATCTTTGCAAAGCATAAAGGCATATTCATAAACAAATCTTACTAGAAGTGCTATTTTTTCTTAGAAGCCTGTGATTTATAGTGGAAACAGTCCTTGAACTCCCTGGGAGATTCTAAAGCAAATGGAATATGGAAACAGTGATCAGTCAAACATTACAAAATCCTGATATTCATTATCTGTCATAATTGGGCAATGTTGTAACTCCAGTCTATACCGACTAATATGATGAGACAATAACAAGAAGTTAAGAACTCAATCAATGACCAGAAACACTTAATGTGCTTCAGGTTAAGTGGCCATGTAACCAGGTAATGATACTTCAAACATTACAATCACACAGAACGAACGACCACAAATAGTATACCAAGAGGAGAATGCTCTATACAGAAGATTAACTGAAACTTACAAGTAATGAGAATGTACTGTACCAAAACCACGGCAAACATACCAATACATACAGCAGAAAATTTTCAATACAGTGACACTCAGAGGCCTAAAAATCCGAAGAGATGTTCATCACTTCCTCCCAACAATTGCAAGACTACACGAATAACTGAAGCTTTAACACCGAAGTTTTTGAATAACCTTATGGACTTTCTCGCAAATGAAGAAAGACTAAAAGGGATTGTTGGGGAATTTACACACCACCACGCAAGTTTGCAAAATGAGAATATTCTAAATCGACATCATCATTTCTAAAGCAACCCATCATCAAATTAAGGAAACGAAGAGCACAGCAAGTAAATATTAGGATCCCAATTCTAGTTACGTCTACAATGAAAGATCCACGGACCTGAATTGACTTAGGACCGTACTTGAAGAGCAACCCACGGAAGTGATTCTTCCTAACGACGGGACCAGGAGGATCCGCAGGTAGAAAGCCGGAGGCAGAGTTGGCTGAGAGTTTCATGCTCCCGGACCTATCGGTACGGCCACGGACTATGCCGGAGAGCCATGATGTGGTTGAAGAAGAAGATGGGGAAGAAGGGGATGCTGCAGCGGAAGGCAGTGAAGAGGGAGAGGAAGATGAAAGCGAGAGATTCATGTCAGATTTCACAGGCCCCAAATCCAATCGAAACCATTGCCGTTGTGAATTTATGACATTGATTTGTTCTGTTTCTGTCGAAAATGGAGGAGGGTGATCTGCAGAAGACGAAAATTACAAGTAATGGAAGATGGGTTGGTTCAGATTGGGCTGGATCGCCATGAGAAGAGGAAAAAAGAGGGCCTTGAGCTCTACCTGTACCTCTGTTCCCCGCCGAGACGGAGAGAAATGAAGCAACGCATCCCACGCGCTGAAAACAAGCGCGTAGCTGTTTCCCTCAATTTGTGGCGTGGCGTGGCGTCGTAATTAAATATTATCCATAATACCTGCCCTGCCCTAACAGATATTGTTTTGAAACATTTCAATTTCAACAATATTAAGGGTTCAAATTATGATCATTATAAAATGAAAAAAATAAAATTAATAAAATGATCCTTTTTAAATATATCGAAATCAAAATTTACATTTTAAAAGTATATGGACTRCTATTTACAAAAGTTGAAAGTACATRAATCAAAATAGACGTTTTAAAAATATATGAATGAAAATAAACAAAAGTCGAAATTACATTTAACAAAATAGTATTTAAACTACAATAAATTTATCTTGCTTTTGTCTAATAAATCCATATATTTTAAAAGACGTAGAATAAGTTATAAATTTGTTAGACATAAAATTAAAAGTTTTAGAAATTTATTAGATATAAGTTTGGTTGGGTGGGAAGATTTCAACTCTTTGCAATTGTTTGTTGACTTATTACAATTAAGATATATCATGTGCTTAATAATTAATTACTCTATTCTTAAAAATAAAAATAAAGTTGTACTAAAAAAAATAATTAAAAAACTGAAATTACTCTTTAACTTTTAGGATTTCTTTTTTTTTTTCTTTTTTGTTGTTATTATTTATTTCGGATTAAGAGATGGATGACTTAGCCAATATCTATGGCAAATTGCATATTCAAAATTAATTAATGACCTTATTATTAATTTTTTTCATTAAAAAGAGTTCGTATTTCGATTTTTAAAGCTATGTGGGCCGAAGTAGACCCAAGTCTTCTAGAGCCCATAATTTTTCATTGGGCCAATGTCTATGTATCATGGATGCTTTTACTTGGGCCATGGCCCATTCAAACTGAACAAAAGAAAATTTTAATATTATAGAAACCAACAAAAATGGCTAAATGAATTACAAGTTTCAAATATTTTGCAAAATATAGCTGTCTTATCTTATACATTATTTAACCAAACTTTTTATTGGTTTTAAATGCAAAATGAACCATCGAACACGATGAAGGGTAAGGAATTCATTTTCCATTCTTGGCTCGAAATAAAATTGAGAGAAAAAAAATTCTCCATCGTAGGCTCCACAAGAATTTATGACATCCTTATGGAAGATTATTATTTTGGAAATATTATGTACGTAGTAAATCAATCTTTTAGTAAAAGATATAAGAGCGGAGATTCGAATTCTCAATCTCGTGATTAGATACATGTACCTTAACCCGTTAAGCTATGCTCAGATTGGCAACTAATCAAATCGTAAAAATATATATATATAAATTTCAATCCTACCTCTTGTTAGATTGTAAAATTATGTAAAAACTTATTATATATTAAATATTGCTTTTAAAATAAACAATAAAAAAATTGGATTTCTCTTATATTTTTTGGTAACGAACTTTTTTAGAATTAATCTTTCTCTGGGTCTACTTGTGTTATCATCCCTAAATATACTATTATGGGCTTTTAGAAACTGACCCGCAGGGCATATTGGGATACACGTGACAGCCCAATCATTATTTTTATTTAAAAAATGAAAAAGTTAGGCAAATTAATTTCTTAATTACCTTAAAGTTAGCTGCACCACTAAATTTAAAATTTGAATCCATAATTAAGATTCCATTCTCTCGTGGGAAGCCTAATGTTAATATTTGACTACATTATAATATTTCCTTAGCAACTATTCTAATATTTGACGACAACTTTTTTTTTAAATAATTATATATACTATTTAAAAAATGTATTCAAAGTTCTTACATTTTCTAATATTCTCTTGCAATTTGATACATTGTATATTAATTTACTAATTTAGATGTATATTGTGATGGCATAATTTTGTCAATATTTTCAATAAATTTGTGTTATTCAATATGTGTGTTAATATAATACCTCATTCAAGCCAATTATTTTTAAGTTCTTAAGTGTTTAAGAAAAACTAAAATTTAATTATGATTTTGAAACCCATCAACAAATTAAAAATGAAATCAATATTAATTTGTATGTTTTCTTATTGCATCACAAGTTTTGATAACATAAGAAAAACACAAATATTTAGAGGAAAAAAAAACTATTACAAGCGTGATTTAGTCTGAGATGATTTTTAATAGTTATTTTTTAAAACATTTTTTTATAAAGTAAAAAATTTTCTAAAGTAGTTTTAGTCATGTAACCTTGTAATATTTTCTTCTAACATATTTTGATGAATGAGATTCTTTTTCCAAAAAAAAAAAATTAATGAGATTCTAAAGAACTTTTATCTTCTAGAAATTTCGATGGGACAAGGAAGGAAAATTGTAGGTTAATTTGAGCTCGTTTGATAACGTTTCTGTTTCTTGTTTCTCGTTTTTAATTTTCTTAGGAAATAGAAGCATATTGCAACTACTTATGTTTCTTATTTCTCTTTTTTCTTTTTTTGGAACATTCTCAAAATTGTATAGAAAGTTTGGCAAAAACAAGTTTATTTTTTCTTGTTCCTATTTCCAATTTTGTTCCAAAAAATAAATAAAAACTTTATTTTATCATAGTTGAATTCATGGATGTTTGGACCATATAATTTATTTTTCTTTATTAAAATGAAAAAACAAGAACAAGAAATATGAATGTTACCAAACCCTTTATTTTCTATCTTATACTGTGCTTTCATAGAATGATAATATTTTTAAAAAGTATTATTTTGTAGAAGGATTACAAAATTTTTCCAATATGTAAAATATTATTTTGTGATTTACATAAAATAATTTATTTATTCAACCCAAATATATTATAATTACATCTTTATAATTCTTTTATCTTTTAAATAAATTAAATTTTAAATCAACATTGTATATTATTTACACGTGAAAACAAAACTCTTAAAGAATAAATTTAAATTTTATGAGGGTCACCTATCTAAGATATTAAAAAATTGATTGATCGAAAAGAAATTGCTAATGTCCTTTGAACGAAAAGGAAGGTCACACTTGAAATTTAATATTAAAAAAAATAATTAAGAAAATGAGTATATGACCACATGAACTAATTTATGTGGTTGTGGCCATAGTCACTTAATGTGTATTATTATTTTATATTATACTATAAAGTCAAGTGCATGCTATATTTTATTGCCCCATATTATTATAAGTTTATTTGTGCCTTTTAAACTTATATCATGATTAGATCACTCACTTGGTTATTCATGATTATTATTTTTAAGAACTCTTTATATAGGAGTGCAAAACCATCATTTCTCAAATGATAAAAACCCACTTGCCATTCAATTTCAATTCCCCATATTTGCTTTAATGAATGTCAAAGACCCACTTGATCCCCTCCTAGAATTTTTCCCTTTTCTTAAAAATATTAACTTCCTACCAAAATACATAAATGAAACTAATTTTTTCTTTTGGTAAAAATAAAGGATAAATCAGCGGAGGCACAAAACAAGCACCGCTCAGCATTGACATATATTTACAATCAAAAGATTTCGAGTTTAATCTTTACTCTCACATGTTGTACTAAAAAGAACATATACGTAGATTTTTCAATTTTTCAATTGCGTTGAGGACACTATTCCTTTTTACCGAGTTAAGTATTTTCCTTTAAAAAATGCACATATAAACGACCACTTAAAAACACCGTATTTGCTCAGATCTCGAACTCATCCTAAGACAAATTGAATATGTAGTGTAGGAGTGGAAAAAAAAAACATCACGATAAATTAGAAAAATATTTTGAATTATTTAAAACGCAAGGGGTTGCCCACTAAAAAACCCCATAAACTCAATAAGTTATACTAACTAAAGCCACTACCATTTTGAATTAGCATAAAAAAAACTCCTTTTTAAGCTTCACGCATACAAATGCCCTATCATGGTCAAATTGGAAAAAAAAAGGGAAAAAAAACTTTAGATTACTTGTACTTACTTAAATTAATTAAAACCCCTCATTAATATTTACATATATTATATAGTTTGGAAGCCCCACCAATTCAACAATTTGTATTATATTATTAGATAATGTTCTCTCTTAAGCTATAGTTTATGCATACATTTTTTTAGTTTCAAATTAATTAAAGAGACAAGATTCGTGTATTTTGAGATTACTGGAAGATACATGGAAACCAATATCCATATATTATCATTGATTTGTATAAAAAAATGTATTACAGAAACAATCTTTTCCAATGAAACACACCGATACATGAATTACATTTTCTTTATCAAGTAAATGAAAAAAATAGAGAAATTAAAAATTAGTGGTATATATATCGAGGATCATAGTTGTTGAAATTCTATTTAATTATATACATATACATACGTATACACACTAATAAAAATCTAAAACATTTGTTATCAACGATTTCATTATCTATGCATGCTAATTAATTAGAATCGCACTTAGTTAGCTCATTTGAGGTTTTTAAAAAAATTAGTTTATTTAGTTAGATACACTTAATATCATATTTTATTAATAAAACTTGAGTTATATTTTATTATTATTTTCATAGGACTTTAGATTTTAAACGTATACTTCCTTTTTGGTCTCTAAATTTCTTTATATTTTATTTTAGCCTCTCAACTCACAAATATTCTATTTTTTATTCTCTAAATTTTCTACAAAAATTATTTGAATTCTTATGATTAAATTTTCATCAAAAACCCAAAATACCTAACTCACTATATTCGGTCAAGTAAATGAAAAAAAAATTCTATCAAAATTCAATTAAAATAGTTTAAGTTAAAATAAAATAAAAAATTATAAGGGAGTTCAAATTCCATGATGGCCATATACCTTATGAATTAATTTCTATATGTTTTCTGACACCAAATATTGAAGGATCGGGTGATTGTCTCGAGAAATTAATCCAACGGTAGGTAAATTGATACTGACCAATATAAAAAAAAATAAAAAAAAAATATTTGAATCCAAAAACTTTATTAACAAGAGGTTCCCACCTTTAATATTGGGAATTATAAAATTCCAACATCTCTGAATATAATAACTGAATTATATATTTGACTAAAGTAAGTTG